GCTAAAAGCTGCAATGAATGAGCCAACATCATTTCTAATAATGCTTCCACAACTTGCAAGCCCAGGATTTGAAAAGAAGCCCCATAAACAATCAATTTAAAATGGTTTGGACGATGAAAAGACCACGAATTGTTATAAGGTGCTTGATTTTTTGGTGATGCCATTTAGTACTGAGATTGTCAACTATTGCTCTCTTTGATAAGTGGAAGGACCAATCTTTAGCACACACCATCTCTCTTATATGAGAAGTAATTTTCTTGGGCATGTGTTTCATTTTAGATACCTTCCCCTGAAAAACTTGATGATTTCATTCCTCCATTAACATTCAAACTATGATGAAGAGTAAGGATAGGCAATCATTTTGTAGACCTTCTAATTTGAATTTGAAGGCAATCCAGGTCCTGAGTATGGTTGTGATGGATGTGTCTGGATTAAGTCATTTGGCGCATCTCTATGCAATCAATCTCCAAATACCGTATGAGAAAATACAATGGAAAAGAAGGTGGCGAATACTATCCTTATTAAAAACAACAAAAGGGGCACACGGGATCCGTGGAGATCCCTCTTTGTTGTAAAAAAGAGAAGTTAGGAAGATCATGATAAATAGCGAGCCAAGATTTGGCCTTGGCAAATATTATCATCATTAATATCTTAATATTAGAAAATAAGTTTTGTTCAAGATCAGCTTTGAAAATTATGAAGTTGGTTAGACTTATGGCTAAAACGAAATGTTGGCTCCTAGTCACTAGAAGAGTCATTTCTATTCGAATCCAAATGAAAATGATGGGGGCAGTTCCTCCACTAAAATATGATTCTTTCTATTGAAGTTCTCTAAAATCATACAAAGAAGAGTTTGGTGGATTTGGTGGGGCAATCACGTTTGAGATAACATGCAAAAATTTAGTTTTAAGTTGGATTTCCACTTAAAGTTTTCCAAATTTTTTGGAATATGCTGAAGATAAACTTGATAATGATGGTTAATGAATTTCTAGAAATGGGTGTTCTTAATAAAGCCATTAATTCAACTTATGTGGCTTTGATCCCCAAAAGTGGTTCCATCTTAGGGATATCAGATATTCGCCCAATCAATCTGTTAACCAGTGTGTATAAGATAATTGCTAAGATATTGGCAGAAAGGCTTAAGAGGCTGCTGAACAAAGTCATTTTGGTTATACAATCAGTGTTCATTCAGGGCCGAATTATTACTAATGGGGTTCTCATTTCTCAGGAATGTATCTACTCTAGGAAACTATTGGGGGAACTAGGTGTCTTGTTAAAATTAGATCTTGACAAGACCTATGATCAGGTCAATTGGGATGTACTTCTTGAAGTCTTGATGTGTATGGGTTTTAGGGATAAGTGGTGTCGTTGGATAAGGGGTTGTTTAATAAGTACCCACTTTTCAATCTTAGAAGAAGGATCTTCGAAAGAATTCTTTAAAGCTATGAGGGGGCTGAGACAAGGTGATCATTTATCCCCATTTCTCTTCGCAGTAATGGGGGTGCCTTTTAGTCATTGCATTGGGCATATGGTGAATAGGGGTCGATTTAAGGGTTTTAAAGTTTCAGCTGAAAGTCAACAAATATCTCACTTACAGTATGTTGATGACACACTTCTGTTCTATGATGCATCGGTGGAGCAAATATTGAACATTAGAAGAATGCTATTGTGTTGTGAAGTGGGGTTGGATCTCAACATTAACTTTGCAAAAACCACAACTATTGGTGTGGCTTGTGGCAATGAGACTTTGCTTCCTTTAGCTGATATCTTGGGGTGCAAGGTAGAGGAGTTTCCTCTTAAATAACTGGGGCTTCCTATTTCAGATCGTAGGTTACCTAAGGCGGTATGGGAACCTGTGATTGAAAGAATGCATTCTAAACTGGATTTGTGGAAGTCTAAAAACCTTTCACTTGGTGGAAGGACAACACTCATTAAGTCTTTTCTATCTAATCTGCCAATTTTTCAAATGTCTCTGCTAATGATGTCAGCCTCGGTTTCAAAGACTATTGAGAGATTAATGAGAAGCTTTCTTTGGGGGTCAGGTGAATTTGGGAAGAAGTATCATTTGGTGTGCTGGGAGAGAGTGAGTACACGAATTTCTGAAGGTCACCTAGGAATATGGAGAGTGAAATATGTCAATCATGCTTTATTGGCCAAGTGTTGGTGGAGGTCGATGGATGGTGAGCAGGCTATTTGGAAAGAGATTATTAAATATAAGTATAATCAAGATAGATATAGCTTGTGGTTGGGGAGTAGTACAAATTCTAGATCCCAATCGATGGTTTGGAAATGTGAAATGCAAAATAGAAGGTTTGTGATTAGTTTTTCTAAATGGGAGGTGAGGGATGGTTTACAAACCCCTTTTGGCATGGTAAATGGATAAGGGAGGCTCCGATAAGGTATTCTTTTCCTTTGATCTTTAATGCAGCTACTAACCCTATGGCTAAAGTTAGTGAAATGTATTGCAGGGAGAGGGGGTTTGGGATATAAACTGTATATACAATAGGGTTAGTGATTAGTTTATCTTGTAGAAGACGGAGTCATTGAGAATGTTGGAAAAGGTGAAATTATTCCAGGACTTCCTGGATGAATTGGTATGGGAGGCTGAAAGTGATAGGGTCTTCTCTGTGAAATCATCATATAACCTATTATTTCATGACAGGATAAGGTGGAATCGGGCTTCATTGGAAAGGATATGGTCTTGGCGGATACCTCAAAAGGTTAAGGTGCTTCTATGGGTGTTGTTTCAAGGGAAGTTCTTGATGGTGGATAAGATTATGAAGAGAGAGAGGATCATAGCTAATGTATGTATGCTTTGTAAGGAGTGCAATGAGAGTGATGATCATTTATTCTTATATTGCCCATTTATTCATGATATTTGGTGTTGGTTTCTTAATAAATTGGGTATTGTTGGTCCGCTACCCTAGAGCCATACTAATATTATAAAAGTATGTCATTTGTTGGGCTAATAAAGGTGGGAATTTTGATTTTTCATATTGGAAGGGTTGTGGTGCTATAGAAGATTTGGTTGGAAAGGAATAGAAGAGTATTCGAGGGCTTGGTATTGGAGGGGGATTTGGTGAAGACAAGAATACAACACACAAATTGGAGTTGGTTCTCTATTACAAAGGAAGGTTTTGGTGTATCTAAGATAGACATAGATGTGATTGTTAGGAACCTAATGACACAAAAGGTGGTTAAGGTGAGACCCAAAGGGCGGTAGGTAGCTCCTGTGATGGGAAGTTTTAAATTGAATTGTGATGGAAGTTCATTAGGTAATCGTTGGATAGCAGGTGTAGGGGGTGTGATGAGGAATCATCTTGGTGAGTGCACTTTCCGTTTTACAGGCTCGTGCGGTGTTAAAACATCAAATGAGGCGGAATTGCTTGTCGTGCTTCAAGGGCTAAAAATCATCAAAGAAGGTGGTCTACAAGAAGGATGTGTGGTGGAATGTGACTCACTGAACGTAGCAAATTGGTGTAATTGTATCTCTAGGCCACCATTGAAGTTGAAGTTGGAATGTATGGAAGTTATGGATTTGTGTCGTGATATGACTATTTCTTTCCAAGATGTTTCTAGAGATGGTATTGGGATAGCAGATGTTTTGGCCAAGAAAGGAGGCGAGATGCAGAACTTGAACATTTTTTATGTAATTTTATGATGTTAATTTATTTGACAGAATCATAATTCCCTTTCATCAATAAAATTATGAATCATTGTAAAAAAAAAAAAATAGATGTTGGTTTTATCGCGTGTGAATTGCACAAAAGAGGACATTATTTCTTGGCTAGAATGCAACAGAAAACTTTGAGAGGGGGATATTTCATTAATGGGAAAATCACAGAATTATAGATTTAAAAATGGTGCGACAGAAGCGTGAGCGAGTAAATATACCAAACACTAACAACTATAATGAATAATACTATATGTAGAATTTCAACCATCAGATCTTCATCGGGTCATTCAGAATACATATCATTATATAAATTTCAATCATTTTTCTAATAATTAGATCTTGATGAAATTTTGGGCATGTGTAATATAGAAAAAGGCGTACAAGAAAAAATATAGAACAAGTATTTTTCAAAATATAAAATGATCAAAATATCCCTAAAAAATGATGGGGGTAATTTGGTCATTTTAAAATATTGAAAGCGCGTTTTTTATTTTTTTATATGCTGCACAATAGTTTTAGGTATATATACCCAAAATTTTATGATTTATAGAAAAACTATTAAAATTCAAATAGTGATATGTATTTTGTACCACCCGATGACGATCTAACGACTTATATGCTACCTATATTACTATTCATTATAGCTATTAGTGTTTGGTAGCTTTACTCTAAGCGAAATTAGATAAATTCTTTTAATTCAAGTCTAGGAACATCAAACTACAAAATGACAAGGATACTACTACGCTTAAAACCTTGTTTTGTCAATCAAGTTGATGTAGAAAGCCTTATATAATTCTAATCTAGGGCAAGTATCATTAGAGGGTTTAATTTATCTTATAAAACTATGGAAAATTATCAGAATATACCTTAATTTTTGTCTAATTAGAAAAAACCAATATTTTCATTAACATCATCCATACCTTCTTTTTTTTGGCATTTTTTTTACCAAGATAGCCTTCACAATAGTCGTATTATTGTGAAAGCATAATGAATCATGGTACTTTAAGTACCGTAGTGATAATGAAAAACATTACAATACTTTAAGTACTATATTGCTAAAGAGCATTTATTATGGTACTTTAAATACCATAATACTAAATGGCATCATTAGGGCCCTTTACGTACGATAATGCTAAAAGAGGTCATGCCCACCGAAATGACGGTCTTTTAGTTTACTCCCTCTTCTCCATTTGGTGAACGCTAACCATCCAAAGATAAAAAAAGCAAACATCAACAGTTCAAATTGTACCCCCAGAAATAAGGATGTTTGCAACAAAGTAAATAACTAAGATTTTAAATCGTATCTTCCTATACAAATAAACTTTTACAGGGAATGGATGATGATTTGAGCTCCATGTTGAGGAACCATTGTGATCCTATGAATAGGAGCATGCTGATAAGATGGAGAGAGTGTGAAAGTATAACGTCTAAGAATCATAGAGAGAGCCACTTTGGCCTCTAGTGTGGCAAAGTTTAAGCCTACACATATGCGAGGGCCATGGCCAAATGGTATAAAGGACACTTGAGTTGAGGCAGCATTCATCACCCCTTGTGCAAAACGGTCAGGATTGAAAAGGTTTACATCTTCTCCCCATTGTGATGGATCATGGTGTACTGTTAAAATTGGCACCACTAGCTCCATTCCTGAGGGGATGGTATATTTCCCCACTCTTGCCTTCTTTGTTGATACCTTGTTTTGATGTTGAATTGGCGGGTAGAGTCTCAGAGACTCATTGATTATCATATTCATCTACACGAATAAAAACATAAAAATATTAAATGGTAGTCGTAATCTAATAGCTCAAGCTTCTATGTAAAATAAAAATACATTTATATAAAGGGATTGCATATTATTATACTATTTATTTTTAATACAAGAAGGTCACAATTGGCACTAGCAATTAGATGTCAAATTGGATGGCTAAGGATATGTCACAAAGTTCAAAATTTGTCTTATTGAACTTGTAATCTAGTAATTTATACACTCACAACCATTCTGATTTCAAATCTGATGGACAAAAGTGAGTGTGACCGCCTTGTAATAAAAATAAATGGTCTCTTTGTATACTTTCTGTTATTTGAAAGTGATTTGGGACTTTAAAATCATATTACTGAATGAAAGAAAAAGTTTATTGGCTTGAAGATCGGGTTAAGAAGAAAAAAAGGAAGAAGGGATTCGAAATCTGATTGGGAAATTAGTATAAAATGCCTTTTTATTTTCAAATTTTGAAAAGGGATTGTATACTATGAGACCATTTACTATTGGTACAAAGAGGTCACAATTACTTATAATTGTCCAATGCGAAATTTGATAGCTTACGTGTATCATAAAGTTCAAGAAAATTTCTTTTGAACTTTGAGCTTGGTCAATGCAATATATGTAACCACCCAATTTCGCATCCAAGTGGCAATATTAATTACGATCACTTTGTATCAAAGATAAATGGTCTCATTTTATACTTTTCCATTTTAAAATACTCCCATATATTTCATATTTTATATTTAAACCCCATTTGTTATAGTAAATTTTATAATTTTATTTCCTTTTTTATGCATTGGATTAAGCTCTAATTCGAGTAGTAGAAACTTCTCACTGAAAAATTTATCAAAATATATTTTAAAAATTAAATGATATAACTAAAAACCCCAATAAATTTAAAATTTGTAAGGGTAATTTGGTTATTTTTATTTAAATCAATCATTATTTTTAATATGTTTTAGAAGTACTTTATAATAAAAATATGGATGGCCAAAATTTGAACTTAACGGATAAATAGAAAAAGAAAAAAACTAGCATACATGTTTGATATAATAAAGTGGGACTAGATGTAAATTGGAAAATATATGAGAATGTTCTTGAATTTTGAAAATAGAAATGGTTTTTTCCATTAGTTTTCAAGGGTGCCGCAATGTAACGTCTTCAGTTTCATTCATACCATGGATAGATGACCATTTCCCACTCAATTAGCCAAAAAATGAAAAGAAATAAAATGAAGTCTATCTTACTATTTTAAGTTGGGCAAGGCCATCGATAGAAGGTGTGTTGGAACAAAGAACTTGTATAACTTCTTTCCTTGCCCTCTCTTGCCACTCCGGGTGCATGGCCAACAGAACAGCGGTCCATGTGAGTAGCGCACTGGTAGTCTCGTGACCAGCAAGATAGAAGGTCTTGCATTCATCCACTATGTCTTGCATTGATATCTTGGAATTCGCTTGTGATTGTAGCAACATTCCAAAATAGTCATCACCGTAACCATTTGCATCTTCATTCGTCAATTTTTCCTGTCTTGCTTCAATCATTTTCATAATTGACCTCGTGATTTGTTGGTCTAGTAGTTTGGCTTCTACTTCATCCCTAGATGGAATAAGTCTTCATCCAAAATGAAAAATTCCAATGTTTGGTTAGTATACTCAAAACTACTCCGTGACATGCTACACATATAAACACATTGTGAGAAAATTTATTTTGGTTAGTTTAATATGAAAGCTTAGTTGAGTAAATTCTTCTCAATCTTTATACATTTAATAAGAATAAAAAAGGGAAATAAAGTGGCAGACAAGAGATGAAGGAATATGACAATTGAGAAGCCATACATAATAAATGTTAAATGCACTTTCACTTTACATTGGAATATGATAATTGAGAAGCCATAGAAAATAAATGTTAAATTCACTTTCACTTATATTAATGTAAATAATTTATTTGTTTAAGAATGAAAGTATATTATAGGATTTTTAATCTTTAAGTAGCAGAAGATCACAATTATCCCTATCAAATGTGAAATTAGGTAGCTAAGGTGACCCAATCACCGTGTTTAAAAGTTGACATAGTTTTCTTGAATTTAATGAATATCCGTAGCCGTCACATTCCACATATGAAGGACAGCGATAAATGTAACCTTGTTGTACCATGGGTACAATCCCTTTAAGAATCAAGGGTAAAGGAACAAGATGAATTTAACTAAGACAAAATTTGGTGGCTCCAAATTTATGAAGTGCACGTGCCAAATGCCAATGGCTTTTGTGGCTATCAGGGATGTCAGAAACATTGCATACAACACATACTAAATTATAATTTCTATGTTTATCATTGGAAATGGACCAGACCCAAGTAACTCGGAAAAGTGCATATTTCTATCCTGTTTGTTAGATGGTTTCATTATTTAGTTAGACGTTTATGTTTCAAATTGTAAATTTCTACAATCAAGGGATCTCATTTGGCATGTAGAATTATCGCCTTTTGGGTTAAAGAATGAATATTATTGATTCTCCAAAACTCAACATGGTATTAGAGCCATCACTGCCTCTTCCCCTTCCTCTGCCTCCTTTTCTTCCGCCTTGCTGAAGCCATAGCCTTCTTCTTCCTTTGTGCTCTCATCTCCTCCTTCCTCGCCTTCTCGCCGCCTCTTACTTTCTCTCTCTAGATCTGATATAAGTAGAGCCAGAGTGGGTGTTCATTTCACCGCTATTGTTGCTCCATTGAGAACACGCAGGCCGGTCGTCATGGCTACCTCCCTACAGTAACAACGTCTATCCAGATCTAGCACTTTGTCTCTCTCCCTCTCTCGTCTCTAGCAGAGAAGGTTATATCCGAGATTCAAACCCATCAAGAAAGGAAAACCTACACAAAGAACCCACGCTCTCCAATACCACATTTCCCATTCTCTCGCTAGAAAATGCCCCACTACTCATCAGAATTCGATAGTGAGCCTCTTGAACTGCCTCTACTTTGAAAATCAAATTGCGACCAATCTATTAAAGCCCCACTAGACCTACGACTTATCTTGGGAAGCTATCAAAACTCCCAGTAGAAAGCTCACCGATTGACCTCTCATCAAATGATCTTTGTCGTTCTATGTTTAAAGCCCTTGGCTTATCGGCAAATTTTGATAAGTCGCACTCATCGATTTCAGCTACAGTGCACCGGGGATCAAGGTTCCTCATGCTTGTCTCTTGAGAGAATCAATAGCTAACACAGACATGGTTCTACTATTTCAAATTAAGATCCCCTGATCAAAGGTCTAAAATCTTCGGTAAGAAGAGGATGCCAGAAGCTTTGGAGGGAGCTGGCCTTGATCTGGGAATAGGGCTCAAAGAGAGTGGAAATGTCTTCCTTGTTGATGCCTCCGCTTGTGTCCTCGATTGATAGCCTCACCCTCAAACATGGCTCACGTCCGCTGTGCTGCTGGTAATAGAAGTGCGAGATACCTGGCGCTTGAAAGAGTTGGAGAGAAAGTTTGCCAACACCTGCACCCGATGGCTCTATTTCGTATTTGCCACTCTATTTGGCTCTCTCTTATTTCCCTTTAATACTATCATAAATATTCTTCAAAAAAAAAAACAAAACAAAAAAGAAGGAAAGCCCTTAATTCCCTGTTACTTGTATTCCATTGATGCAGTTTCGTCAAATTTTCTTACTCGTTGCTATTGCCATGGACAACCAAATACCTCCTCTTTTTGAAGACTCCACCAATGTCATCCCTGATGGGAACACTACAACCAAGGGTAATAGCTTTTCTTTCTCTGTTAATAATTTCACTAACCCTTTTCATTTGACCAACAATGACAATCCTGGCAATATTCTTGCTTCTTACATCCTTGAAGGTTAGAATTATCCACAATGGAGTAGAGTTATGACCACTGCTTTGAATGCCAAAAATAAGCTCTCCTTTGTGGATGGTTCTTTCATCAAACCTCTCATCTCTTCTTCTAATCATCTTTTATGGAAAATATGCAATGACATGGTTTGATCTTGGATCCAAAATTTTGTCAATAATGAGATTGCTGATAGTATTTCTTATGAAGCCACTGCTCAAGGCATGTGGGATGATTTGAAAGATCACTTTTCTCAAAGTAATGCACCTCGTCTCTTCAAGTTACAATGGGATCTTGCACTTGTTTCTCAAGGTTCTTCCACTATTTCAACTTATTACACTAAACTTAAATCTCTTTGGGAATAACTTGCTTCTTATACTCCTCTTCCACCCTGTTCTTGTGGGTCTTCTAAGGCCTTGCATGACTATCTACAATATGACAGAATAATTCAATTTCTCATGGGACTCCATGAGTCTTATCACCCAATTCGAAGCCAGATCCTTCTCATGGACCATCTTCCTATGTTAATAGAGCTTATTCTCTTTTTCTTCAAGAAGAAAAGATGTGTCAGGTGGCTACAAAAACAATTCCTTCAGAAGATGTTGTTGTCTTTGTAGTCAACACCGCTACAAACCACCAGCCTCAACATTATTTCAACAATACAGATAAAGCAAAAAGACCTCACAAATAGCGGCCCAAATGTGATCATTGTGGCTGGGTAGGCCACGCCATTGACACCTGTTCCGTTCTTCATGGTTATCCATCGGGCGACCGACTACACCAAACAGGCAAAGGGATATCTTCTAAGCCTACAATAAATGTGAAAAACACTGTTACTACAAATTCAAGTCAAAGTAGCCCACAATTTACACAGGATCAATATCATCGCTTGCTTTCTATTCTTACTGAAGGTAATACACAACCAATGGTCAACTTTGTAGGTAACTCCACATCCTCTCCTTCTTCCATTCCTCTCCATACTTAGATTGTAGACACCGGTGCTTCTGATCATATGATTTTTTACACATCTTTGTTTCATTCCTCTACACCTGTTTCTCACATAGTACCTGTCAAACTTCCAAATGGCTCTTTTGCTTCCATAACTCATATTGGTTCTGTTTTTTAACACCTACACTTTGCATACATCAGGTGTTGTGTGTCCCTTCTTTTGGATTCAATTTACTTTGCATCAACATACTTACTGCATTCTATCCCTGTTCAGTGACATTTTCTCATGATATGTGCATTTTTCAGAACTAGTACCAAAAGACGACGATTGGAACAGCTAAAAAGCTTGGTGGCCTCTACTATTTTGAGTCCTCTCCACTGACTTGTACTGCTCTCTCATCCATTTGAGTTGGTTATAATTTATTGAATAGACATTTACGACATGTTTCTTCTACTAGTTTGAATTTGTTAGCTAAGACTGTTGATTGGATCGCTATTTTCACTCCCAGTCATTGTGATGTTTGTCCTTGAGCTAAACAAACATGATTACCTTTCGTTTCGAGTTCTATTTCATCTACTGCAGATTTTGATTTGATTCATTGTGATATTTGAAGAGGTTATTCCATTCCTTCCCATTGTGGAGCTCGTTATTTTTTAATTCTTGTTGATGATTTTTCTTGTTACATGTGGGTATTTCTTATGCAAAACAAATTTGAGACTCTATCCTTATTAAAATACCTTTTAAAAGCATTTGTAAATACTCATTTTCAATGCACTATTAAACACGTAAGGACAGATAATGGATCCGTATTCTTTTCTCGTTCTATTCAGCATTTTATTAAAGAACATGGGGTCACCCATCAATATAGTTGTGTTTACACACCGCAACAAAATGGTGTTGCCGAATGCAAACATCGCCACATACTTTACGCGTTCAAAGTAATCTTCCTCTTACTTTTAAAGGAGATTGCATTCTTACTACCACATATTTAATAAGCTGGTTACTAACACTTTCATTATTGGATAAATCCATGTTTGAAGTATTATTTAATAAGTAGTCATCTTAGTCGTATTTGTGAGTTTTTGGATGCCTTTGTTATGCTTCAAATCGGGATAAGTTCGACCCTCGTGTATGCAAATGTGTTTTCCTTGGTTATCCCCATGCTCAAAAGGGCTACCGTCTTCTTGACCTTTTCACCAATTCTATTTTCACTTATCATGATGTAGTATTTAATGAGAACATTTTCCTTTATCAAAATCTTCCTTCGAACAATTCCAATGTCATTTTACCATTACCAATACCCGATGACTCCCCACCCCTTCATTCACCCAATCACTACTGATCACATCACTTTCCTACCCAATTCCCCTATTTCTCCTCATCAAAACCAATCTCATGGCCCCCCACCCATTTTGTCCCAGCTCCAATCTCTATACCACCTATTCGAAGTTCTCAACACACTTCTCAGCCACCTTCCTATTTGAAAGACTTTCATTGCACACACGTCAAGCTTGGAGCTACTTCCACATATTCTTCTAGCATTGGTTCGACCAAAGGTACACATCATCCTCTGTTCCATTTCATTTGTTATCAGAGCTTATCTCCCTCTCCTCAACATTATGCTTTAGCCGTCTCTTCTATTCAGGAGCCTACCTTTAATTCACAGTCTGTGCAAACCTCAAGTGGCAAGAGGCAATGCAATGTGAGCTTCAGGTACTTAAGAAGAATTATATCTAGACCCTTACGAGTTTACCACTTGGGAAAACTCCCATTGGATGTAAATGGGTATATAAAGTCAAGCACAACTGATGGCACCATTGAATGCT